TCCTGGCCAACATGGTGAAACCCTCTCTCTACTAAAATACAAAAAAATTAGCTGAGTGTGGTGGCACGCACCTGTATTCCCAGCTACTCGGGAGGCTGAGGCAGGAGAATTGCTTGAACCCGAGAGGCGGAGGTTGCAGTGAGCCGAGGTCACGCCACTGTACTCCAGCCTGGTGCCTGGTGATAGAGTGAGACTCTGTCACAAAAAAAAAAAAAAAAAGAAAAAAGAAAAAGAAAAAGGAGTAGGTCATAACCCCGCTTTCTGGAGATGTACCAGGAGCTGTCACTTCTTTGGACCTGAGGACAGGTTAACAAAAAGGAGCTCATCTCTTATTCTGCTGAATATTATAGAGCAGGTGTGTCCAGTCTTTTGGATTCCCTGACTCACATTCAAAGAAGAAGAATTAGGCCACCAATTTTTTTATGTGTAGTCTTCGGCCACACATAAAATACACTAATGATAGCCGATGCTCTAAAAAAAAATCACAAAAAAACTCATAATGTTTTAAGAAAGTTTACAAATTTGTGTTGGCCACATTCAAAGTCATCCTGGTTGCCTGCAGCCATGCACTGCGGGTTGGACAGGGTTATTTTAGAGAATGTTTTAACACTGGCAGGGAGTATGGCATCATTCAGAAGTCATTAACCAGCATGGAACCCTTATTCTGAATTCGAATAGACTTGTTTCTTTCAAAACCTGGCCAGGGATTTCTTAAAACATACAGAAGGTTGATCCTTTATACATAAAATGTTCATTTATTCAAAGAAAACGAAGCTTCTTCATATATATATATAAATCACCTAATCCTCCATCCCAGTAACAAGGAAACTTAGATTTAACTATCTCAGTGTCCCCTCTGTCTTCTGCTCCAAGTGGCTTGTTGGGGTTTGCTGGTTGTGTTGCTGTGGTAGTGGGTGGTTGGATTGCCAATCTTTGTGCTGGTCTCATGCCAGATCTTCACCAGTTTTGAAGAAATGATTTCCCCATCTACTCTGTCACTCCTCACTCTACTGCCACCTCCTGCAAACAACTGTGGCTAGAATGATACTCTCGGTATGCTGTCTCTTAGCTCAGCAAGGGTTTGGGGCCCTCCTGGTTAACTTGCCTCATCTCAGCTCTCTGAGGTTGTGTATTTCCTTAAAGTTGTGGGGATTCCCATTTGGTCACCAGCCCAGGTTGTATGCCCCACAAGCTCCACTTTGGTAACCCTCTGCTAAACTTGCCAGCATACCATCTACCTTCTTTATCCTTCACTGGGCCCTTGAAGGACTTCAGGACATTCTCCATACCACATGAGAGCCAAGGACAGTTGGGCTTAGCAGCCCAGATTGGTAGAGGGGGACTCTATTTTGTTCCAATTGCTTCCCCTAGGCAGAAGAAGAATTTTCTGCCTTGCTGGAAGGATGTGAGCTAGACTTCCTGTCCTTGGCTTTGGGTGAAGGTCACAGAAGGAAGACAGACTCTATTATCCCAGTGGTTGCAAGTGAGGTCTCTGCAGGCTCTTCAGTTCTAAATGAGATTCTCTCCTGCTTCTCTGAGAGCCATTCTCTAGCAGTGTTTGGGAGCATATTTCCCATCTGCTTTTCATTTCCCTGGCACAGAACATGGGAAGTCAGGATCACACAACATCCTTCTCATTCTCAGGATGCCTGTGAACCCCCATCCTTGAATGCTTTGCTCAGATTCATGCTGACTTTCTTGAATGGCCCCCAGCACACCCCATGTTACTTCCTACTTCTGAGCCTTGACCCATGCTGTTTTCTCTGCCCAGACTGCCCTTCTAACATCCACTGCCCTTGGAAAACTTCTGCTCATCCCCTAAGATACTGCCTAGGACTCTTTCTCTGAGGTGTTCACTTCACTCTGGGCACTTTGCATAATGAACTTCACCAAAAAGAACTTCTGTGTCTGTCTTCATCATGAGAATAGAAGGTCCTAAGGGGCTAGGGTTTCTTCTAAAACATCTTTGTTTTTCTAATGCTCAACAAATGTTGGTTTACAAAAATAAACTTTGGGTAAATGATGTATGGGATCTTTCTGTATTACCTCTTACAACTGCATATGAATTAACAGTGGTCAACAATAAAAAATTTAATAATAATTTTTTAAAATCCCGAAATGAACAGAGCCCATCATTTTCTAAAGCTCTCTGGTTACCCCCTGGTAGAAGATCAGAGTCCAAAGTAAGTGAGGCTTTTAAGAAGATGCCATTTCCAAGTGAAGGGTGGATGCTTCAAATTATTAAAGTTGGATCCCCCACTTGCCCTCAAAACCATCAAGTTCAGAAAGCTTTGAGGGAAGTTAGGGTACCTGTTAGCACATTCAAATTACACTGATTATAAAAACGAGAGCCTCTGGGCAGATGAATTAGAAAAACAAGGGCTTCTCTAGGCTTGGTGGGTGGTAGAATCTTTGTGTGAAATAAAAGCATTGTTCCCTTTTCACTGGGTGCTTCAGCCACACAAGCTAAGAGAGGAGTCAATTTCAGCCTTTCTTCCCCCAGCCCCTCTCTCTTGTGTAAGGCATAACCTGAATGTGGCAGCCCAGGCCTGAGTATTTTCCTAGGTTTGCCATCTCACTTCAAAGTGCCAACTGCTATGTTTTCATCCCCACTGGAGTGCCTGCTCATGTGGAAACATTATTTGGGGGTGTAGCAAAAACTTAGCATTTTCTGTTAAATTTCTTAAATGAGTCAATGCAAGTAAAGAATTAATGCCAGGTGCAATGGCTCACACCTGTAATCCCAGCACTTTGGGAGCCAAGGCACGGGGATCACCTGAGGTCAGGTGTTCGAGACCAGTCTGGCCAACATGGCAAAACCACGACTGGCTAAAAATACAAAAATTAGCCAGTTGTGGTGGTGCATGCCTGTAATCCCCAGCTACTCAGGAGGCTGAGGCAGGAGAATCACTTGAACTCAGGAGGCAGAGGTTGCATTGAGCTGAGGTTGTGCCACTGCACTCCAGCCTGGGCAACAGAATAAGACTCTGTCTCAAAAATAAAACAAGAGCAACAACAAAAAGAGTATACTTGAGTTAGTGGCCCATTCTCCATCAAAATTAGCTCCCTTTTAGTGAAGATCCCCCCTGTCTTAGTCCACTCAAGCTCTAGTGACAGTAGATCATAAATTGGGTGCTTAGAAACAGCAGAAACTTATTTCTCATAGTTCTAGAGGCTGGGAAGTTCAAATCAAGATCTGGCAGATTCAGTGTCTAGTGAAAGCCTACTTCCTGATTCACAGGTGGCACCATCTGCTGTAACTCACATGTTGGAAAGGACAAGGGAACTCTTTCAGGTCTCTTTTATGAGGGCACTAATCCCATCCTCATGACTTCATCACCTCCCAAAGGACTCACCACCATCACCTTGGGGGTTAAGATTTCAAAATGCGAATTTTGGGGGGACACAAACATTCAGACCATAGCATCCTCCTTTGGGGTTTCTTCCCAGTGGAAGTTCTTGTTAGGATAAAGTTTTCTGTCGGGTTTTTGTTTGTTTTAATACCTGGAGAGCAAAAGTGAGGGTCCAGGAACCAGTTCTGGTCTTTTTATGTTTTTCAAAGGAGTGGTCCTACAGGACTTTGCTAAGCAGGCAGAAATATGCATCTTAGGTAAGACTACAATCACTGTACATAGCGTATTTGTTGTATGGAGTAGGGGTAGAGTAATAGCCTGTTAAAGTCAGTTTTTAAAATAAGCAATGTCTATACATGTATTTGCATCTATTATTGTCTTTGATTTCTTTTCCACAAGACTGTGAATTCTTTATGCATGAGGATCTTGAGTTCACACTTGCATTTCTTTTTTTTTTTTTTTTTTTTTTTTTT